CGTGTTTCCTCACTCTGCCTGATCTGGGGAGGGGAAGTGCCCTCCCCTCGGGCGGTGTGATTAGTGGGGAACCAGTGGGTGTGCAGATGGGGTGAGTGGGAGGACAGGTGGCCACAGCAATGGTGGCCAGTGGTCACCTGCTTAGGAACGCCAGTTTAGAGACAAAACACCCTGGACTTGACCCCAAGGTCTGCCTCCTGTTTTCTGATCATTTTGAATCACTTAGTTCCTCTGAGCTCTGCCAGTTTAAGAAAGAGAAACTCAGTGTCGTTATTTAGGAATGGGAAACCGCCAGTTCCCCAAGAGCACTCATGGGTATTAAAAGCAATGAGGCATCTGCAGCACTTAGCCCTGAGCTAGGTATATATAGGTGTATATATAGCTCCGTAGCTACGACCTGCAGCAGGAAGGTCCACACCCTGCATTGCAGACAGAGCTGTGCTGTATGCGCTGTGTGTGTGTGGGGGGGGGGGTAAGAGTGAGGTTTTCATCAGCTTTACAGGGTTTCTACAGAGGCTGCCTTATGGGAGTAGGAGGATTTCAGGTGGCCTTAAGGCAGGTCACCTGTAGTTTCCTGTCCTCCTGCAGCTGGATGGAGAGCCCAGGAAGTCTTTCGGTGTGAGATCTCGACTGTGCACCTTCTCTTTAAACCAGGAAATTGGGCTGCTGAGCCAGAGGTGATGCCCAGAACCTTGCCCACTGGACAGCACCCTGTCAGGGCCTCCTCCGCTCCTGCCTGTGCTTCTTAAAAGTGGCTCACCTGAAGGTGAAAGCAAAGGGCTTCAGGATGGCTGGGCCCCACGTGGCTCTGTGCAGCTCACCCTCCCAGCTACGATTTCATAACTGTGTAGTGAAGAAGTTGAGATTCACTGGGGTTTTTTATGGATTCACAGATATATCTGAGGCTGAGCTCTGTGCTGGCTGCAGGATGCAGAGGTGGATCAGCCCTATCAGTATGAAAAAAAGCTAGAGAAGCACACCACAGGAGGTGCATTTAGAGCAGAACATGTGGGGAGCAGGACACAGGTCCCTTGGTGCCTGACCCCTGCCAAATGAGGAAACTGAGTCCTTTTCTCCACAGGCTCCATCTACGAGATCTGTGGAAATGAGTGCTGCCTGTCCACAGGGGACCTAATGAAGGTCACAAAGGTAACCCTGAAGAAAGTGGTCTGTCAGAACCCAGGCACAGGCCAGAAGTTGGAGCTGTCCCCCAACTTCCAGGGTAAGAAAGGTTCCCTGCCTCCTACCTCCCCACATGGCTAGCAGCTTCCAGGAAGCCTGTAGGAACTCGTTGACGGCTTACCAATCCCAGCATCCACGCCTACCTGTTGGGCTTTGCAGCCTAGAGGCCAGGGCTGTCCTCAGAGTGGTCTGATAATAAACACTCTGAGCCTGGCATGGCCTCACCCTCTCCGTGTTGGTCTCTAGTCCCCTCTGCCCACGTCCAGCTCTCTGTCCTGGGTCAGTCCCTGTGTGTGTCCACACATTCACTCACCTGACATCTGCTGACACCCATGTGTGCCTGGTCCTGTGCCTGGGGCAGTGAGGCTCAGGATGAGCCAGGCCTGTCCAGGTGGCAGTGACAGGAGGGCAAATGGGTGCCAGCTTTCAAGAGGGCTCTGGGAGGAGCCAGCCCACCCGGGGCTGTGTGGTGCTGATGTAGGTTGGCATCTACTTTAAAATGGATTGAACAGGGCTGGTGAGATGGCTCAGTGGTCTAAAGCACCTACCTAGAACAAGCTGTAGCAAATCAGAGGGACCATGGTTCAATCCCCCAGCACCACATGCCAGCCAGCCCCGCCCCCTGGTGGGCTGAGCTGGCCACACACACACACACACACACATACATAATAAAATAAAAAAATTTAAAATAAAATAAAATGGATTAAACAGGGGGCCTGCCCATTAGCTCAGGTGTTTAAGTGCCTGCTGAAACAAAGCAGTCAGCCTCAGGATGCTGTGGTTGCATCCCCTCATCCTCAAGCCAAACCAGACCTGCCCTGAAGGCATCCTGAGTGCCCCTGCTCTCAAAAAAAAAAAAAAAAAAAAAAAAAAAGAATGAATTGAGCAGCTGGTGAGGTTTGGAAATACACAAGTGAGGTTTCTTTTTTGTTTGTTTTTGGTTTTCTTTTTGAGGTTTTGTTTTTCTTCAGAAATAATTTCAGATTCACAGAGGACTTGATAGACACTCAGCCTCGAGATTCACTGGTTGCTAAACCTTCCCTACGTTTTCCTCCTCAGCCCACTTTCTCAGTACACGTGCACATGCCAGCTGCGACAGAAGCACACCGTGAATGTTTGCGTTCTAAAACCTTTCTGACAACAAAGACCCGTTGCTATTGCCCTCCCCACTCAAAATATCCCTCCTTTCTTTGCACACATTCATCCCGTTGTTCTTGCCACTTTCTGAAGTGGTTCTGGGTCCTCTTTTGAAAGGGTCTTTATGTGCAGTGATCAGACACATATATACCCGCTGCCCAGGGCCATCCGGCAGAAAGGCAGGCCTTGCTCTGCGGCTGCTTGGTCCTCTCCAAAGTCAAAATGACCACAAGAGGTAAAGGCTTTGAACCAGTTCAGGAAGGCAGTCCAGAGAGAGGACTTCTGGTACTGCTAGGAAAAGTGGTGAGGGGGCCGGGGAGATGGCTCAGTAGAAGCAGCACTTCCCTGGCAAGCTCAAGGGTCTGAGTTCAATCCCCAGTTCTGCCAAAAAAGAAAAAAGAAAAAAACAAACAAACAAAAAACCCGGAAAAGTGGTGATCATGGTGAGATAGTGTATCTGAAGCAAGTGGGGATATTGTGAGGGCGTTAGTGGCAATGTGCTTTTAATACTTTTTTTGCTTTTTTTTTTTTTT